GGTCGGGGGCCTCTTCAAAAACATCCGCTACAACCTGGATTTTTGGGTGAGCATATGGCAAACGGGTGGTATTGGAGCCCCTGAGGATGCTGTAACCCCCTGCCCTCCCCAAGCTGGGACATGGGGACACGGGGACATGGCTTGCTCTGCTCCCGGGGCCAAACCAGAGCTCGTTTGGTTTTTGGAGTTATTAATGAGTTATTACACATAGGGTGCAGGGTTTTGGGGGTCCCCACCCCACAGATCTGACAAATCTCTCTATCCCCAGAGGAGAAACATCCATATCAATGACAACGTCCTGCACTCAGCGTACGAGATGGGGGTGCAGAAGGTGGTCTCGTGCCTCTCCACCTGCATCTTCCCAGACAAGACGACGTACCCCATCGATGAGAGCATGGTGAGCATCTCCATTCCCGTGCACAGCCCAGGGGGTTCCTGCCCTGCTTAACTCTCTGCTCTCTTGTCCCCAGATTCACAACGGGCCACCTCACAGCTCCAACTTCGGCTACTCCTACGCCAAGAGGATGATCGACATCCAGAATAGGTGCGGTGGGGGGGACATGGGAGAGCCCTTGCGGGCTGCGAGCACCCTCCAGTTGTCAGGGCAAAGGGGATCCCCGGGGGCTCCCAGGAATTAAATGGAGCTGGGGACGATACCTGGGCTCAGCAGATGGAGATGCTGCTGGCTGGGGTCTTCTGGGGCCAGCTCTGTGCCGGAGCAGGGGTGACTGCGGCTGGTGGACAACCCACCTGCACCCCCTACACTCTCACCCAGGGGCTACTTCGAGCAGCATGGCTGCCGCTTCACCGCCGTCATCCCCACCAACGTCTTCGGTCCACACGATAACTTCAACATCGAGGACGGCCACGTCTTGCCGGGGCTCATCCATAAGGTCTACCTGGCGAAACGTGAGTGTGGCAGAACTTCTTACGGCTTTCTTTGGGAGGGTTGGGTTGGGTTTTTTTCCCCTCTGCCTGCTCCACGAGCTCTGCAGGGTAGCCAGAGTCAGTGGAGGTGGCTCTAATGCTCATGGACGTGCTCTCCTTCATCCCTCAGAGACCGGCTCAGCTCTGACTGTCTGGGGCACGGGCAAGCCCAGGAGACAGTTCATCTACTCCCTGGTATGTGTGGCCTTGGGGAGCGCTTGCCTCCCACAGCTTGGGGAGGGCAGCATAAGGGGCTGGGGGGGCCGACACCTGGATCCCGGCAGAGTCTGAGCCTGCCTGGGTTGTCCTGGGCAGTGTTGGCCATCGTCAGGGTTGGGTCCCCATACAATGGGAGGGCTGGGGGACAGCAGCCACCCCCCAAGAGCCATCTTCCCCTCCGCAGGACCTGGCCCGGCTCTTCCTTTGGGTCTTGCGGGAATACGATGAGGTAGAGCCCATCATTTTGTCAGGTAAGCCCTGTCTGCCTCCCTACAACAAGGGGCTCCAGCCCCTTTCCAAGAAGATGGAGGAATGGCCACAATCATGTCCTTCTCCACAGTGGGAGAAGAAGATGAAGTCTCCATCAGGGAGGCAGCAGAGACGATCATAGAGGCAATGGACTTCAGGGGAGAGCTTGTTGTATCCTTCACTGCAGGCTGGCCCCCCTCGCTCGCAGGACTGCCGTGGCATGGTGGGCACCCCACTTCCCACCAGCAGCTGTAGGGTTCCATGGGAGATGCCATGGTCCAGAGCAGCACCCTGAGCAACTCTCCTGCCCCAGCACCTCAAGCATCCCTCCCGCTGCCCCAGCCAGGATGTGGTGGGGTTTCCCACCTTGTTTTCCCCCATTTGGTTTCCCTTAATCCCTCCCACACCAGTTTGACACTACCAAAGCAGACGGGCAGTTCAAGAAGACAGCCAGCAACACCAAGCTACGGCACTACCTGCCCAGCTTCCAGTTCACACCCTTCAGGCAAGGTGAGATGAGGGGCTCCAGGAAAAAGGGGGGGGGGCCCCACCCACTGCAATTAGCTTTGGTGGCATCAGGGTGATCCATCCTTTCAGTACTTAAAGGGGGCTTCTGGACAGACTTTTTAGCAGGGCCTGTTGCGACAGGACAAAGGGGAATGGTTTTAAACTAAAAGAGGGGAGATGCAGACTAGATATGAGGAAGACATTTTTTCCAACGAGGGTGATGAAACACTGGCACAGGTTGCCCAGAGAGGTGGTAGATGCGCCATCCCTGGGAACATTCAAGGTCAGGTTGGACGGGGCTCTGAGCAACCTGATCTAGTTGAAGATGTCCCTGCCCATGGCAGGGGGGTTGGACTAGATGGTCTTTAAAGGTCCCTTCAACCCAAACTATTCTGTGATTCTATGAACAAACTGCATTCTCAGTCCCCAAACCCATCTTCTCCCTCCCCAGCTGTGAAGGAGACCTGCGCCTGGTTCAGCACCAACTACGCCAACGCCAGGAAGTGATGGGGGGCCAATGCAGCACCGGGACTGGCATCACCCAGCACCGGCATCATCCTTTTCATCTCAGGGTTGTCCTTTGCTGGGGCAGAGGACAGGGCTGGGGGGTGACAATGACATTTCCAAAGTAAAATCCAGTTGG